TTACGTGTCTGGTCAACCATTTGGGGGGTTACAGGGTAAGTTACCCCTATGAAAATTCATCGACCGACTGACGTACAAAATCCTTGCGACACATGGATGCTGCATGCATTATTTCGAACAAATTCTACGAAAAGATAGCTCTGTATACCGATGTTTTCCCACACGAATTGGCGCGTGAGCTATGACGCACTCGTGACGCACTCGCAGTTCAAATATTGTCAATTTTTCTCGTATTTTTGGTACGCGTGAATTTTCAATTTAGGCGTAATAATTTACGTACGGATGTCAACCCACGAGTTGGCGCGTGAGGACCCAAAGTAAAAGAAGCTCTATCCCCACCGTGAACACTTTCAGCGTTACATACAGGCGCGTAAGAATAATAATGACAATAACAACTGCTGAACGCGATTCGCGCTATCTCGCTCACTTGAGAGACGTTTGCCGACTGTCATTGTTTTTCGCTTAATTAGTGCGCGTGACTGCGAGAGACAATTGTTCCGAAAATACGTGAGAAGCGTCCATTTTTCTAGTCTGACCAATCGGAGCCTCTTCTAAACACGACATTCTATTTACGCGACAACTCATGGGTTGGCATCGGTACGTCTGGTAAGTTCGCAACAGAGAGCTATTTTCTCGCCCCAACAGAAGAACCACGAATTTCTCTTATAAAATAATGATCAAAGGATGTCCAAACCCATCCTGTTACTTCTATAATTTAAAATTGTAAGTTAAATTGTGAAATAATGGAAGCAATATGTGTCCCGACAGAAATTAAAGACGATTATCGTATTCCTCTTTAATATTTTATTATTCACCGGCAATTGTAGCAGATACCAAACAGACTGTAACAACGTTATAAACGTGTTACAGTTCGTAATAGAGAAAAAGGTGGAGCGGGTATTCCAACTTACCGTAGTACACGGTCACGTTTTAAATTGAAGATAAAAAAGTTGTTCAAAACTAAGTAATCGACGAAAGTTGCTCTCGTTTATTTCTTAAACTGAAACCGGAATATTCGTTTCTGCTAAATCGAACTGCACTTTTATAATCTCAATAAATTTAAATAATTTGAACAATCTGTTACTTATTTTTATGTTTTTAAATTTTCTGTTTATAAATTTGTATATTCTCAGTTTTCAATTTACAAGTTTTTGGTTTTAGAAATTTTCCAAATTTTCAAGTTTCTAGGTTTCTAAATTTCCAAAATTCCAAATTCCCACATTTTCAAAATTCCAATTTCTAAATTTCTAAATTTCTAAATTTCCAAATTTCCAAATTTCTAAATTCCAATTTCCATCCCCCAAATCATCCAAATCCCAAAATAAAAATATTCCCAAATCCGCCTCTCCCAAAAACAAATTTCTCAAACAATCCATATACACGCCATTAAATTCGGGAACACTCTGTCTAATTTGATAATCTCGTTCCTCAGCCCCTGTTTGAACACAAAAATAGAACCATTTCCCCATCGTGTTGAATTTCATATCCGTAACCATGAAGACAATTTCATTACCTAACATCAAGTACACCACCCGAGACGTTCTAAACGAATAGTAACTTCAAAAATTCTCAGTTTCCATTATAACAAAATATTTGAAACATTGTATATTTAATTTCTTCTTTATCAGCATTGCAGTCTGATTAATCTTTTCATGCATTAACATTTGTCTTTACTAGTATTAAATTGCTATTTCGAACTGGCTAAGCTTATTTACATTGTAACAGATTCAATGGACTTTTGAATCAGTTAAAACTGTCTTATACTTGGCACAACTTTAATCACGTATTTTAATTTATCGCTGTGTCTCTGTTCTACTCAGTTGCTTTAAATGTATTTAAATTTTAATTCTTAAATTAAATAGAAGAGGTTTTCTGCTAGTTGCTACAAATCTAAATTTTTTATAAAAGACTATTTCTTAAATTTTTTATTTCTAGACTATTCTATTATCGCCCTTAAATAATTTACATAAACTTCATATGTTATGAAGACTTTTAAAACCTCATTTTATTGAATTTTATTTATCTTTATAATATATGAAGTCAAATATATAATTGAATATAAAGATACTTGTATCCTTGTAAAAAATAATTATTCATTCAAAAATAAATTCTTTGCCGAATGGTACATATATGTATATTTAACCTAACTATAATTCATCCTAAAGAAAGATTAGACAAGATATAAAAATGTTGAACTCCATGAATTATGAGCCAGCCAGTATATACAAAGAAAACTTATTTGTCTGAATATATACCGTGTCGAGCACTATATCCGGTCGAAAGCTCAATAAAGAGAGTGCAATCCGACTTTCATTGGCCATAGTGAATTAAAAAAAAGAACCACAAGGTTATCGTTCATTCTCTCCGCCGGCAAGTTTTAATATCCTCAATATTGCCGACATTTAATCCCGGCGGTTTCCAAATACGAATGAAACGGCCAGGCGAATGAATTCGTGTTTGCTCAACAGGAACGACTTTCATCCCCGTTAACTTGCATTACACTTATGGAAAATTTAACGATTCGCCGTAACGTGGCCGTAACACGTGTTTCAATTTCGCCGAGCCGAAGAAAGAAAAAAGGCGGGAATAATAAGGGGGACGTTGAAAATTCAAAAGCGAAGCCCTCAGAAGCAAGACTTGTGTTGTAACAAGCCCAAGCTGGCTCTCGTTAAGGTCTCTTTGACACAGCTATAAAGAGATAAATAATTTGGTTACGAGCGTCTAATGACATTATGCGAGAGTAAAGTGGTAACGAGCAACTGCTGCTAATTTTTCATTTAAAGCTTAATGCCGACTACGGCAAGTCTGACGGCTCGGATGAAGCGTGCATTCGCAATTTCTCCTTGATTATTTCTGTAATTCAATAGCCCCTGTACGACGAATTTTAGGCCATTATACGGGATAATTAGTCTAATTGCATCGTATTTTGATAATACCATTACAATCGGCCGCGAAGTCAATTTATGTATAATTTCGTGAAAATTGAATTAAGGTTAGAACGATGATTGACAAGGACACGGTGCACGTGGTCTGTTATTCAACGTTATTAAAGATTGAATACATACTATATCTTAATTTCATTGAATATTAAATTTTACTACAATACAAATTATTACTACATATGTACATGCACAACGTACAACAAAATTGAAGGTTTAAGATAATCTAAATAATTTACTCTGTTGCAATAATAAAGAACTGTAGTAACATCTTTTGCAATTATTACCACACTACCACCGAATAATAATAAATCAACACATTTATCTTTGAATCATAAATGTACATTTGTAAACTTCTCTCAATTAATTAAGACAGTAACCGAGTTATTCAATTTATCTTTAATAGCGTATCAACTCAGAGTAAGAAAATACAATATAAGTACAGTAACTTCAAAGACAAAAGTATCATGTTTTATTATTAAACCTCAAACTATAATTTAATATTCTCAGAACCAATGTACTGCAATGAATTTGGAAGTAGTGTAAGCTTCTTCCACATAATACAAGTTGTATAAATTTTTGCATAATTATGAGCTTGATATAGACTTTCAATAAGAGCTACAAAGCAGATCAACAAAGTTCTTTGCATTTTAAAATTCTCAACCTTTCAACTCAAGCAAATCAAAAACAAAACTTCTTTTATTTGAAGTTATTAGATTTTATTTACAAATTTTATTATCCAAGAAATCTTTTAGCTTTTTATTTGAAGTATATCTGATGCAAATTCAAATTTTATGGACTTTATCATCTTTTTCGTTTAAAGGTATTCAAAGGAACATAATACTATTATCGTATACCTATTTGTAATGTATTATAATAATATTATTGCAGATATTCATTAATCTTTGAAACTCAATCAATGTAACTTCATTTACTAACATTTAATTTCTCTAATGATGCAGTAATTTCTCTAATTATGCAACAATTTGGACAAAGTAAATTACACTACAAAGTGAAACAAATACTATAGAATTACAGTAATTTGGTTTATGCTTTTGATGTTTCACTTCTCTGCTTGATTTTGTTAATTAATTATTTTTAAATTCTACCGCACTGAAAATATTGGATTGTGATATTTTGTATAAGTGATAAATGGAATTTAAGACTTACTGAAAGTTTTGATTCAATTCTATATTGTGTCAATTAAAAGAATAATAATTGGTCCAATAAATCAGCTATTCGTTTTATAACAAAACTTGTCTATCGCTTTATTATTTCTTTGCACAAATTTTGAAGAACTTAAATGTAAACACTTAAACTTTATTTACTAATATATTTTGACTTATAAGCTTCCAAGGGTGAATCAATTTGTATGAATATTAAAATATCATTTTTATAAATTTATACATCAAAGGTCAGTATTTGAAGTAAAACATTAAAAGAATAATTTTCCTTTTCTTAATAAAATTTAAAACTTACCAGTTGTTGCTCAACCTTCTATGAAGTGGAAAAATTGTTAAGCCCCCTCACTTCTTACAAGACAGGAACAAAATTGTTCACCTGTCAAAAAATATTAAATTTAGTATGTGCATATGAGAATACCAAAAAAAGTATAAAACTTCTATTTTTGCAATAAAAATTGACTTTTCACCTGAAATTTCAATAATCTTGTAGTTTCTAGAAGCTTCTTCCTGGCGTCTGAAGCACAGATTTTAATATTCGAAAATAAACTATCGTATAATCTAATTTTCTCGATAAAAACACTCAAAACGTTTAAATGTCACTTATATTAACAATATTATTAACATAATCAACAAAAACAACAACTATTCTAAACAAAATCATTAAATTTAACTGCTGTCAAAAAAAGTACACCCTAAGACGCTTCGACTTCCCACGCACTATAAAAATTCAAACCAGTTTAAACATGATAGTTCGAGAAACTTCAGCAGAAAATTTAAATCACTTCGGGTCACTTCGTGAAGCTTCGGTTACCACTCGGCATGTTCGTTACGCGCCAAAATCAGTACAATATGTGGCGTCGTTTTGTGAAGTGTAGTGTTGTGCAAAATCAAGACTTCTTTTTCGTTGAACCCGAAACATTTACTAAAGGTATTATCAATTATTTAATACGTTAACTAGAGATACTGTTTTATAGTTCTTTATTCTTATTTGAGAATATTTTCGTGTTAATACTTATAAACTCAAACGTTATGTTCCAATAAAGACAGTTACTACGTTTTATCTTACTACCTTCCTTTGAATAGTGACATTAACACGTTATATTATAATTCGAATCTATTTATTCTTCTTTAAACTTCAGATTTACTCTGAACTGATTTTATACAGATTTGAATGATGCAGTTAAATCTTAAATTAGTTTTTAATGAAATTATTGATATTTTTCATTAATGCTGTCAATTTCATCATTTTTAAGTATCGGTAATAGTAGATTAATTTCATCATTCTTAAATATCGGTAATAGCAGATCAATTCAGCATTTTTAAGTCGGTAAATAGTAGACGGTAGGTCTATTAGAAACGCTCGGTGGGAATAAATTTCAATTACATCTTACTTACCTTGAGAGCCACTCTTCGAGAACAATTTCAAACACCATTACAACATCTCTCGAGCACATCCGGCAGCCCCCTTTTCTATTAATCCAAGCGTTTCTCGAGGCCTCGTCGCGAGATTTGGAATATTGTAAGGAAAATGCAAATATCGGCCAAAGTTTGGCCAAGGAGATGGGAGACGAGCTTCCTATACGTGTCTCTTCCGCTCATGGCGTACGGGTATCCGGCTTGTTTGTATTCCGTATTCAACCCTGTCTATAGGGAAATTGCGGTACTACTTGCCCGTTGAAATCTATGAACACGTTCTGTGGCCTTTGATCGTCCTCGTTCCTTCCATGTGTTGTCGTCTCATTAACCCTTTCGACCTGACCGACCGACTTACACTTAACTAACGGGATCAAGCTTAACTAAATTGCGCGCTAAATTCAGTTCAAAAAGCGCGCGCTATATGTTACAGTGATTCTCACTTTCTTTCTCTTCTCTTAGGACCTGTCTTACTAAAGTTGCATATTACGTTCGGTTTATTGGGTGAATTAGTTACATTCTATAAATTATCTAATATTTAAATTTCTTAATTTTCAAATTTGTAAATTTAAAAATTTATAATATTAAATTTATAGTTCATAAATTTTTAAATTTATAACATTTGTAAACTTTAAAATTGTGATATATTATTTTAAACTTTTCTAATCACATTGTTCCATTTTTTGGGCCCTAATTAATTTAGATATACTTTAATAGCAATTTAATATTGATATTAATAAAGTTACTGAACTCTAATGTTATGAAAATGTGTTCGGCAGGTTGGATGGGTAAAAGCGGACACTAAAGCGATCCAGGCTATCCACGATCACGTAATAACTCACAACAAGAGAGTTTCAGTGTCCCATAGCGATCATACCACGTGGAATCTTCACATAAAGGGTGTTCAGAAGGAGGATGAAGGTCTTTACATGTGTCAGATTAACACGAATCCTATGAAGAGTCAGGTAAGTTCATTTTTCAAACTATTCTTTACTTTGGTAAAAAAGAAAGTTTTTTTAATGTCTATCAGTATTTATCTGCGTCTGAATATATTTTTTATTATTTAAATTATTCAATTTGTTTAAATTATAATTTTTATATTCTTTAATATAAATTTATTAATATTTAAATTTAAAGCTGTATATTATTTATTATGTATTACTGTATATACTCTTGTGTACTTTTATACATACATACAACATTTGTTTATATAATATGTTATGCATATTCTTATATATAATATGTACAATATAATATACTTTATTGTGTAGTAGTGATTTATGTTTGGTTTCAATACATTTTAGGTTGCAAATTAATTTTCAAAATTTGCTTCATTTAAATTTATCAAATTTTTTATACAAATTTTTAATTATAATTTTTAATTTGTAATTTGTAATTTGTAATTTGTTATTTGTAATTTGTGATTTGTCTAATTGTGAAGATATAATAATTTAAATAATGTAGTACAATAATATAAAATTTATGAACTCTATATACTAATGGTGAATGTAATTATGCGTTGAAGACAAAAAGAGCTTAAATGGGGTTCTTATATCGACCGGTACAATTATGAGAATTTTTATGCCTTGTAGGGTATTCGGAGACCCCCGCAGTAGTTAAGGGTTAATTACCTTTACATAAGAAACAGTAATAGATGTGCATAATTGAACAGGGGTTTAATGGAGTCAACCTCCTCTATAGTGGAAAATGGCTGAAACCTATACACTATTTCCAAGGTGTTCATAAACGAGAGCTAACATTCCTGAACTTGTGAAGGCGGCCTGTTAAGTTTCCTGGTATGCGGTGCTTCAACAGCTCCCGCTCAAATACCTTCGATACTTGCACAGATTGTAACATAAGGCAACTAATACTCATGTACGTGGATTTCCATATTTCAGTTAATAGCGTTGCGGCTTTCTATCACTATTCCGTTCATAAACATTTAGGGACTGTCAGAAACACGAAATCGTTCGATAGTTTCTCTTTTCTAACTAAATAACTAAGGCATTAATTAGTAACTGTTCCACTCGTCAAATGTGCGGCGAGAAGATTATATGCTTTATAAAATAATTTGTCAAAATTCTGAACTTGCTACATGTTAAATTTTTAAGAAAACCTGAAGGTTCCAATAACGTTTAGCAAAGTTCTAATAGTATTCAACTGGTTCTGTTCAACTAGATCTAGTATTTAATAGAAGAATTATCTCTGTATTTAAAGAATACATCTCTGTATTTCTTTTGTTCGTGAGAACAAGAATCTTATATGAAATTTTGGAAATTAAATTGTTCAGTACACGTTCCTAACTCCGCAAAGTGATACATAAATAAAGAAGCGAAGCTTCCTAGCTTTCAATGAAATACTTTGATGTTAAGATTACAGGAGTAGGGAATTAGTCACTTTGTCTTTGAATGGTTCATTTATAATTTAAATCGTGAATCAGAAACGGTTTTCTATGCATTGGTCTTCTCGAAGCTCTTATCACATTTTGTGGTAGTCGGGAAATTAATAGGTAGAGGTTTAAGTACCCAGGGCAAAGAAATCTGATAGGTAAGTGGTTAAAGATCGTATCGGGGAAAACGTAGAGAGTCGCCTAATTGGAATTGATGGGTCCCAGAAGCAATGCGCGTCCCGGAACTTTATCGATCTAAATAGTGTCCGTGGTACCGTTTCCAATTAGTTATTTCACCGAGTTTCTCGGCTTACCACCATTCGTCCTGCCCGGTTAAACTGCACGCAGAAAGCTTTGATTTCGACCGCTTAGTTACCGAAAACGCTCGAAATAGCAGCTAAACGTGCCCGATAGCCATCTGTACCTAAGTAAATCCTTAATTCCTTCCCTGGCTTTCGAGTTTTCAATAGGGCCAATGATAAATGTCCACAATCGCAGTAATGTTTATCTATCCCTAGATAAATACACGAAAATCCTTATATACGTATGATTTATACTTTGGATTACCTGGAAAGAGAACTATTTATACCCAGAATTCACTGCAGAGATGTGTGTATTTTTGAGACATGAAATGCAAATTCATTTTTAATTTTACAACTCTCCTTATTGTCACTTGAATACTGTTCTTGTAAAAATAGGTTTTGATATACAAATTCAAAAGAATTTGTTTGTGTCAACTTCAGTTTGATGCCTCTCACATTTTATTGGATATCGCATCAATTCATTCTTACTAATTAGATTGTATGATTAATTGTTTTTCAGGTTGAGGACTATTTCTTTATCAGAGATATGTCTGAACCCACATAATTTCAATGGATACAGAATTAAAGGAATTTGTTTGTGTCAAGTTCAGTGTTGATATCTCTCACATTTTATTTGGTATTCCATCAAGTGTAGATTCATTCTTACTAATTTGATTGTATGATTAATTGTTTTTCAGGTTGAGGTCTGTTTCTTTATCAGAGATATGTCTGAACATAATTTCAATGGATGTTCTACTAGTTATGGCCATTACAAGATGTCGCAAGTTCTATAAAATTCTTTAAGGACTCAGTTATGATCTTCTTATTGAGATACTTCGTCACAAAACCGGTATTACACCGTAAAGAGTGTAATGAAAGTCGTAATTAGTTTCGTAATTAGTTGATGATCGAGTGTAGAGAGTCGTGTAGAATACTAAGTTTTGTTCAAAGGGTTACACGACAGACGATCTAAACGCCAGCATGAAATTTGTATTTTTATCTGATCCCCAGGCTGTCTCTTTTTCAAAAGCGTGGAAAACAAATAACCTTGCATAAAATTGACGAGCTGCGAGACGACCCATTTCCTTTCCACGCTAAAAATTTCAACGCACTCGTGAACACGGAATTCACGGTGGAATAAAATTTCGCTGTTGAAAAAAAGGCCACAATGCAATCTCGTCTGTTCGAATAAAACCGTCAGAGAAGGCCGTTCTCCGATCGATCCCAAGCGTCCGTCATATCGAATAAATTCGCAAACAAATTAATGTCTTGTGGTGTTCAAGTTTCGCCGAAGTTTTCTTGTAAATAAATCATCTAAGCCATTGCGTGCGGTTCATTGTTCGTAAAGATACTTTCTGCGCCTGTAAAATCTTTAAGTAGTAGGTGGACGTAGATATTCATGAGATGAAATATTTATAGATTAATTCAAAGAAATCTACATGTGAATCTTCGTAGATATGTGAGTCTTTGATATGTGAATTATATAAAAATTCACGTGTGTTTTTCTCCTGAATCATTACAACTTTTTCAACGTAGTAAATATTTACTAGTTCTTTCTGTACATCCTCAGGTTTCTAGATTCTTAGATACCAAGATCCTACATCTCATCATCTCATATTCTCTGGTCTTTGTGATTCAAATTCTACTTCGTACGTTCATAAAATCCGAACTTAGTGAACTTTAAATTTTTTCTATTGAATTCAAAAATGTATCTTCTTATAGTATCAGCGTATGAATTTTCTTCTTTCAAAAGAGATTTTAGTGGGTACCAGAAGCATCATATTTTATAACTTTATTCGGCATACATGTAAGCTTTCATGAAAGATATTTGCCCTTACCAGAGATGTATTTCGTTGCAATTTTCTTTAAAAAGACAGAAAATTAATTTTCTTGTATAAGGTGCATTTCAAAGCCTTCTTAATGCTTTCTGTATTTAATTTACTCTGTGAACTGTCAACAGTTTTAATTCACTATACAGATATATTGTTTTGATATGAACAAACATGCGTACTGGAAATTTTAGTTTCAGTTTAACTATGTTTTCACATTGTATAATACAAGAAAAGTGTTCATATATCAGGGAACGTTTTGTTAATCTCCTTATACTTTTACACATATGAATGTTTAGTTTATTTTAAATTCATCAGCTACATACGTATGTGAACACATCAGACATGTACTTGATAGAAGTTAAATCTATCAGCCACGATTAAAAAATCAGGACCTTCAAAATAACACAGCTAAAGAAGTTAAACCTGCAGGCTAAAGAACCATTAAAAAATAATTATTGAAAAGGTTAAATCGTTCTTTAAGCCACGACTAAAATATGAGAATCAATAAATTATTTTCGAAGAAGTTAAACTTGTAAGCCACAGTTCAATAGTCAGAATCTTCAAGAAAGTCTGCAAAAATTTCAAGAAAGGTCGTCTGTAAAACTGTTCTTTAAGCAACGATCAAGTTAGAAAATTAAAAAACTCATCTCTAAAGAAGTAAGCCACGATTGAAATTCTTAAAAAAATCATTGCTTAAAAGGATAAACCGTTACTTGAGTCAATAGTTAAGGAATCGGTCTTTGAAAAGTCACCTTCCATTTCTCCGACTTTCACCCAGCATCTGGTTGTTGCGTCGCGGCGCACTCGTACCATCAGGCACACTTTGTAAAGCATACGAAGTCCTCTTCTTTCCACTTTGCAGACGAGTCGTCTCGCTCCGACAAAGTGTGATATGGCTCGAGATAGAGTCGAGTTCTCCCCTTTGAGATCTAATTTTCCGACGTTTCAGATTGAATCCAGGCTTCCATGCCTGTCCAGGAATCTCCTCGCAGAAGCAGTAATCTTAAATAGTGTAGGAGATGGTTGTCAAGTGGGGAACTACCTCTGAGGTGTCTCTTAAGTAATGAGCGAGAACTTGCAAATGCTTTACAACGAAGCTTTTGTGACACGTACATACATACTTTTATGTGGGCAGAGATACAGGGTTTGCATGCTTATGCGTTATTAGTGCACAGTCAGAGTTTTGCTTCACTAGGGAAAATACGGTAGATAAGGTGAAAGGGTAACACTTGTTGATCTTTAGGAAACTTTGATGATTTGGGAATGGCTGGATTTGTGGATTAAGATTTGGGGAATTAGGAAATTGTCAGTTTAGGAAATGGAGATAGAGATTTGTGGATCTGGAATTTGAGGATTTTGGTATTTGGGGACTTAGGAGTTTTGGACTTGGGATTTTGGAGTTTTTAAGATTTGGGGATTCGGGAATGGGGGATTTAGAGATG